GGCAGGCATGAGGCAGGGACAGGGAGCGTGCTGCACAGGGGATTACGTGTTSCTGCTGAGGCTGAGGGCCCTGTCTTGATGGAGCTGAGAACAGGAGCAGAGAGCTCGGTTCTCACGAGGCCTATCTCTGGGGCAGGAAGGGGCAGGGTGAATGTGGGGAGAAGAGAAGGAAAAAATGAAAACTAATATTATTTTAACCACAGAGACAGGAAAAACATGGCCATGGGGAGAGGCCAGAGAGCCCCAGGCAGGGAGGGTGGGGCTGGGTGCCGAGAGGAGCGAGGGCTACCCAGGAAGGGACACTCAGGGACATCCATACCAGGCAGCCAGACAGGCCAGGGCTCCCAGCACCCCCACCTGGTGAGTCTGTTTGCAAATCCAGCAGGGAACTCCCGCCTCTGCAGGACCTGGACCCCATGGCCCAGCCTGGCGGGACCCTGCATGCGGCACCGCCAGTTCACAGAGCCAACCTTCTGTGAGTTATTGTTACAGTGTAAAGACAAATACCTGCCCAGAGTTCTGCCAGGCACAGGGTGTCAGAAAAGAGGGCAGTTGGGAAGTCACTGCTTCTCATTGTGGACTTTAGTTCACAGGATCAAAACTACMCAAGTAGCTCAATAATCTGCTCCTAGCAGGAATCTTGGTCTATCTGCACCCAACTTCTGCTGGGAAGTGGGAAGTTGCAGCGCCTGAAGCGAGGAGGCACCCTGGCCTCCACCCCAGGTCCCCACCTGTGCCACCCCACCTGGCACCCTGCATCTGCCCACTGGCTTTGTGAAACAGGAAGACTTATAGGTCATTCACAGGAATTTATCCAACATCTACTATGGGTTATTTACCAGGTGAGGAGAAATCATAAAGCTCTTCTCTCCTGCAGCAGAAAGGACACAGTATTTCTAACTAGTCAAGGCACCAAAATGGCAGACAGCCCCGCCCTCAATCCTATGGACAGCAGGTGTGATGCCTCAGCAGGTTATCCAGGCTCTGGACTATGCTTTATCAATTTTATCTTGATGTTGCTTCTGGTTTTCTTTGGTTTTTGTCTTTGCAACGCTGGGGTCTGAACCCAGGGCTTTGTGCATGCCAGGCAAGCATTCTACCACTGAGCTCCGCCCCCAGACCTGATTAGTCCCGCCTAGTCAGGAGTATTAGAGGATTTAAAAGTTCACAGCTAGAATTCATATGAGAATTCATATGCATTGCAGCAAAAAAAAAAAAAATTCACTAGGTAAATAATGCTTTTTTCACCCATTCTCTTGTCAATGATCACTAAGACTAGTTCTCTATTTCTGCTACTACAAACAGTATTAAAATGAGTGCTCTTGTACCTACTGCCTGATATACATCAGCAAGAGTTTTCTGCAGTAAATACCTAGAAGTTAAAATGCTCCCCTCATGGGCAAATGTTCATCCTTACCAAGTATCCTAATTCATCCTCTGAAAGAGATGAAGTTCAGAAATCACTGCTGGGGGTGGATTTTTCAGTCCTAAAGGGCTACTAGGAACATGGTCAATGTTGACAAAGACAGGCAGGTACAGGTGGTTGACACCATTTAAAAGGGAGGAATGAGAAATACAAAATTGAGGGCAGGGCTACCTCTGGGTGATGGACGGTGGGGAGTCCAGGAGAACAGGCGGGAGAAAGGGCATGCTGGCAGGGGCCCTGCTCTCGGAGCAATGCTGGTTCTCCTTATTGTGCTTTAGTTTATATTAAACAAAGTACTGATCATTCTACAGAAAGAAAAAAACTATTTTTGTAAATGTAGTCAGCACTGAACCAGGCGCGGGGGCACACACCTGTGATCCCTGCTGCTTGGAAGGCAGAGGTAGGAGGATCACCAAGTTCAAAGCCAGCCTTGGCAACTTAGCAAGGCCCTAAGCAACTGAGCAAGACCCTTTCTCAAAGTAAAACATAAAAAGGGCTGCAGCAGGGGACAAAGGTGGGCCTCCAGCAGCACAGGGAGCTCTAAGAGGACAGGGACAATGTTTTCACTGCTCTGATCCCAGAGGTAAGTACCCACAGCTGGGCAGTCAGCATCAGAGTGATATTTGACAAAAGTAAATGTCTCCTTTATAAATGAAGGTGTCAGGGCTGGGGTTGTGGCTCAGCAGTAGGGCGCTCGCCTAGCGTGTGTGAGACCCTGGGTTTGATCCACAGCACCATGTAAAAAATAAATAAATAAAAGATTTTTTAAATAACTTAAAAAAATAAATAAATGAAGGTGTCATAAGCTCCAGAGATTACTCTGGCTTAGAGCGTAGGAAGAGAAAAGAAGATGGCGGAGAAGAGAACAAGAAGCACCTGCTTTAAGATGACAGAGGAGCCCCCAGAGGTGACTGGGAAGGAGAGGTATGGAAAGTAGCAAAGGTGGCAGGAGACTGGCATTGGGCATCTGTCACGTTTCGGACAATGGGCTCAGGACCGTCCCTCAAAACTAACAGATGTTAATACCACACGTGTACATACACATGTGCGCTGCTGACACCCCCAAAGGACGGCACATAAGGCGGGGACACAGGCAATGGTGGCTCTTCCCTCCTTAACACTTCTGTACGCCTCTCCCAATAGTCTCCTGCTTAACTCGACTACTCACACTCCTGGGGAGAACAATATGGGTGAAGCAAGGGCACGTGGAGGCTGCATGCAGATTCCCACACTGTCCCCGCACAATGCCTAGAGCTCCTCCCCCAGGCTACCTGCTCCATCACTGCCCTCTCCTCCTGGCCTCTGAGGGAGGACTCCTCTCCATCCCATCATGCTTGTCTGTTTTTTATGACCTTGACTTTTTAGAGTCCAGGCTGTTTGTTCTGCAGAATGTCCCACCTATGGACGGGTCTGCTTTCCCGGCCATGATCAGCCTTGCAGGGAAGCATAGGTGTGTTCTGCACACCTGGAGGTGCAGGGTGCCAGGTCCCGGCCATGACACGAGTTCAAAATTCCAGTGATCGCTGGAAGTTCCCACTCAAGATAATTTTTTCTTCATTATCCTGGAGGAGGTGAGAGTCTGTTCAGACCTCAGGATCCTGTGCATCCATACCCATTCACCCAGGGGCACTTGGCAGCCACTGAAGATGGTGCCTGAATCTGGCATGGCACTGAGGGTGCAGGACAATAACATCCTAATCCTGCCTTCCTCTCTGCCCTTGCCAGCGGGCCCTCCCTCCATGTTTGGTCTCCATGCAGAACATCACTGTAATCCCTTGGATTTGGTTTGTTTTTACACTTACCTTCAGCTACTACTACTCTCACTCTTGTTGATGCTCAAACTGTCCCAAGCTTAGAAGTACCGTGGAGCCTCAGTCTGTCCTTACCAGTTTCCCATGGGTCCCCATGCTCCTCCTTGCTTCCTGCCCAAAGCTGGTTCGACCCACTTTATACTCTTCCTACGTCTGAGTCTCCACGGGGCTCTGGTTCCTTGTGTGTCAATGATACTAAGACACAAGATGAGCATCTCTACKCGGGGCTACCCTGCTTCTCCATCTGCAGAGGGATTTTACTTTTGCTATGTAAAGATGGAAAGACTTGAAAAAGTTTTAATAGCTACGGGCGAGTAACCACTTCAGAGTCTATAGTTTTTTACTCATTTTAAGTAGGATGAAGGATGCTGAGCAGGATTATACCTTGAAGAGAAGTAGCCTCTAGATAGAGTGTGATACTGAAAATAACAAAAAAGAATAACCTAAGAAGAAAGATTACAAGGAAGCAGATGTAGTTTGCATGCCCCCGACTCCACATCACACACACACCCCTGCCCCCGTGGAATAAAACAAAACTGGTCCTGGCCTGTTTCCCGATGCTGGGTAAGTCACAAGCGTGACACCATAGTGCCAGAAGAGAGCCCTTGCCCTGGTTGGACACTACACCTGAGGCATCCAGCAGCTCCCACGAGTCACAGCTAGACCTAGCATTTCCTTGACTGTTCCCACTGAAATCCATTGGAAGGGTGAGAGGACCACACGTGGACTGGTCTAAAAAGGACATGGGGTTCCACCACAGATCCCAGGCAGTGGACCCCAGAACTAGCAAAATGTCAGTCTGTGGTTTCAAACCTACTCTGAGCACCATGTTTAGGCTGAATGAAAACTCTTGCCACATTCATTCAAGCTCTACCAGTTTCGACAGCAATCTCCTTGTTCCACTGTCACTTGTTTAGAGAAACACAAAGGCTTTTCAGAATTGGCCAATTCCCGATTCGTATGCTAGTGTCACAATATGTTTTATTGAAATCAAAGGTTACTGCTCCTTCCAACAGGGATCCACACTCAGAGCAGGAAGGCCTTCTGTGCAGTGTTCCTGAACCGTTACGCTCTTTCCCTGTGGTTCTGTACTCCTGAATGCCAAACAAGCACACAGGTGGTTGCTACTGAGCTACCGAGTGAAAGCTATCTGCTGCCTCAGAAATGGAGATCTGTTCTCTTGCACTGCAAGAACTGTCCTTGGGCCGGTTCTAAGGATCCCAGTACTCCTGTCCAGCTGAGCAATACACCCGTGACCTGGGAGGCAGGAAGAGGTCAGAGAGCCACTTCCTTTCCTGGCCCCAGGGAAAACAGCCTCATGTTCTCAAGCAATGCTGCAGAGAACAGGCTGGGGAAATCAGTGCAGGAGGGCCTGGGCTGCTTCCCTCACCTCCTCTCTGAGGGCCAATTCCTGAGACTGGAATGCAGGGGTTTTCAGAAGCAAAGTCCCCCCCACCCACCACCAAAAAGCATCGCTGGGCCACACAGAAATTCAGAGCACTTCCAAACATCACTGTCGAGCAAAGAGTTTCTACGTTCCCACAGATTTTGCAACCTAATCAATAGTCATCAACACTGACAACCAGGAGCAAGTACAGGAAAACAGCAATAAACATGCTGAATATTTCAATCATGCAAGCTGAATTTTAAAAATAAGCATGGACACACTTCCCCAGTGAAAACAGTCTAGTGCTCATTTAACTTACTTAATTCTTCCTTTTATTTCTTCCTATAATACAGAATCCTAATGATGATACACCGTGGCCACTTCAAGAAGACAAGCGCTGGCTGGGCTGCATCGCTCCACTGAAGGAGACCTCCTTTATGCAAACAAATCAAAAAGGTAACAGAAAACGTGCCAAGGGTTATCAAGAGGACTGGTGATTTTGTCCAAATGTTAGGGAATATTTTGGGAATAATAAGGGAATGTTTCCTCTTATTCAGAGAAAGTGGATTTACACACAGGATTAGGTTGGTAGATGTGTAAGAGAGAAGCAGGCCACCAGGTTGCCAGACAAAAAAAAGAAAAACAGGCCAGAGAGGAAACAAGAAACAAACCCAGAGCTGGCTGAGAGTGTTTTAGTAAGATGCATGTGTTTCTGGAGGGGGCAGTGCTCTGGGTAGGTACTATGTAAATCCCATGCAAAGAGCGAGCCCTGAGACTACATGCCCTCTCCAACCTGAAAACCCAAAACAGCACAATCCTAGGACCCCACACTGCACCAAAGGCACTCAGGACCGGGGCACTCAGGGTCTGGATCAGGCTAAACCTTCTGTGTTGTAGCTAGGAAGGAAGGCGAGCGGGCAGGCGAGAGAAGGTGGGCGGGCAGGCGGACAGAAGGCGGGAGGAAATGGAGAGGGGACCTGTATGCTGCTCCCATTACACCTGCCTTTGGGCCCCATAAACCCCACTTTCTCATATTTCATTATGTTCCAAAGCAGCAGCAGCAGCAGCAGAGGTGAATCCCTGTGCCAGGCACTGGTTCTGGAGAGCTCCACCTAGGAGAGGGTGAACACTTGAACCAGGCAGTCTCCCTTAGGAAGTCCAGCCATGTACAGAAACCTTTCTTAAACACCATGTCAGGGAGTTAGGAGGTACCTTCTACGTTCCTGAGGCCTCCCAGGGAACCTGGAGGTCACTATCAAAGCAGAGCTCTGCACAGTGGAAGCCCTTGCAGGCTCAGCGGAGGGCCTGGCCTTCTGCAGCTGCTCCCACCCCTCTTCTCTTGTCACCTGTGCTGCCACCTACCTCTCCCCCTTATGGGGCTGGGACAGGCTGGAGAGAACAGCAYCTCCAAGGAGCAAGAGCAGGGGCAAAAGGACAGTGTCCCAAGAGAGTCTCTCCTTTTCTTTCTGATTCGTTTGGTTCTTGCTTATTTTTGCATGACTGTATAAAATCTGCACAGCACGGGACTATTCCCTGCATTTGTGAAATGCCTCTAAGTCCCAGTAGGTCCCTTCAGTGGGAGCTAATCATCTCTTGGAGACAAGGGGAGACTGCTCAGACATCACAAGGTCAAAGTGACGCAGTCTTTTCTATGATCCTGTCCTGTTTTTCAAGCAGTCATATTCCTGCATTTTGGCCTGAATATACACACGGCCTCACTTGCCGTGTCTGCCTTAGGAGGGCTCCTTTGTCGCTCATTTCTCCCTTGACCAGTGTCTGACCTGCCCTTAGGAAAGTCTGCGGCATACAGTGACAACTGGGACCACAGAGGGAGGGCCCTTACCATCAACACCACTGCTATAAGATGTCCCCAATGCTTCAAGATCAAGGTCATGATGGGGGGTAGCTCATGGCTCATTTGGAGTGTACCTTGAAGATGAGGCCATTTGCCCTTGGGTGAACTTCTACCCTGGCAGAACAGACAGCAGCTTGGGCAGAAAGGCACCCTCCCCCAGCCAGCCTCGCCCCTACCCAGCAGGTCTCACACCCTTCCATCCTAAAACAGAGCCTCATCTGCAACTACTGCCAAAATAGCAAGACAGAGCTTGAGGAAAAGACCGGCAGCTCCCTCCAGATCCTGGAGGCACACCTGGGWCAAGCCACCTCCACCACACTCACAGGGGGCGGGAGGCAGGTGTGTGCCAGGCATGGCCAGGATGGTACGTGCAGATTCCGGGCATTCTGAGGAGTCACAGAACAGCACCTGGCCACTAGGAGACCTTGCAACTCAAAAAGCCCTGAGTGCCAACCCCTGAGGAAAGGACTTCCTCCAGCTGTCTATGAGGGGGGAGTCCTGAGTCTCCTGGAACAATTTACRGGAAATCCTTTACATTTTCTATACATAGTGGCTTCTAGAACATTTCTAAAAGGGAATGAAATGCATTTGGCTCTCATTAAATCATTTCTGGGAAATTCTTCACCGCTTCACTACACAATTATATTTTACATAGTTCACGTTTCTCCTCTTCAATATACGATGTGTAGTTTTCACTTGAGAATTAAATTCAAATGAATCTCATAAATACTGACTGGCTACCAGGAGTACTGCCCTAGATGATCGAGGGGATGGTGTCCCTAGCACTGAGACACCAAACCAGACTGGGAGCACAGAGCGGTGTGCATTCTCTCAAGCTCTGTGAAACAGGCTTCTAGGTAAAAATGTACCCGACGGTCCAGGGATGCCTTACTTAGTTAACTGAAGGCCACAGTCACAGTGGACAGTTAAAAGTGGAAACCAGGGTCCTCCTCACTTGGCATCTGAAGCATGATCTTAGGTTCGATGCTGAATGTCACCAAAAGCCCACTGCAACAGGTTTGGTCCTCAGTGTTGCTGAGGGAAGGAGATGGGACTTTCAAGAGGGGCCACAGTGGAAGTGGGAGACGTTGGTCATTGAGGACATGCCCTTGAGGGGGTAAAGAGGTTGAGAGAGTCCGGTCTCCCAAACAGCACTTTGTTACAGTAACAGAAAGCTGACTAACACAATAGGAAGCAAGATCATATGCAGAAAGGCTACAGAAAATGGGCAAAGAAGCAAACCCATATGCTCTGAACTCAGCAAGGTGAGCCTAGAGGGAAGAGAAAGGCTAAACCCCGAGGAAAGTGTTTGAAGAAGTGAGTTAGGTAATTTTTCTTTCACTGAAAGTCAACAGACTGGCAAAAATCAAATGGCTATAAATATTCCTACTTTTGCCATATGGCACACACACGGGAAAGATACATGGAAGACATTCTTATGAGGAAAGCAGCATAGAGGCTGGTGTGGACCTGCATCTTGGTGCAGAATGCAACTGGATTTCACGTTCCCAATTCCATCTGCCAAACCTCCTTGATCCCAGTGCTCTGTGTCCCACCCCCTCATTCCCAGTGCCCCGTGTCTCACCTCCTTGATCCCAGTGCCCCGTGTCCCACCTCCTTGGTTTGAGTGGCACAGCACATCACACGCTGTGCATAAAGCATGAGGCCAGCCACCAGAAATATAGGGCAGACAAGGCACACCTCTGTCCTGTGGGAGCCACTGTCCTCTGCCCCCTCTCCCATGTTGTTGGACTAGACGTAAATATCGTAAGAGCGGGATTTCATGTGTTGTATTCCCTGACTGCAGGCAACTAATACCTAATACCCTAATATCCCAAATATCATGCTAAGACATAATGACTAACAAGGACATGGTTTGAAAGCACATGTGCAGTGGAAGCAACACTCAAAAACAAAACAGCCAGAGAGCTGAGTGTGGGGCCAGGGGCCGGGCACAGAACTGTGGACATTGAGAAGGGACCCCACCCTGCCCATCCGAGGCTTGAGGGGTGATGCTCCCCAAGTGAGGTGACATCCATGCAGAGGGCTCAATGAAAGATCCAAGGGGGTGGGGGGACCCACAAGGAGGTCAAAGGACCCATGGGATAGAAGAGGCAGGGATGAGACCACCAGGGCCTTTGGTCTCCAGGTTACAGTCAGTGATGTGGGTCACCCAGAGGACATTTGCTCTGAGCACCAAATAACCATCTGAATAATCTCCTGTCTTCCCTGTGCTATAAATCAGTGCTTCCCACATCCATGAAGAAAATACAGGGTGCTACGACACGGGAAGGTTCTAAAGACACCTATAAAAACATCACTGAGTTTCATATGTAGTACTGAATTTTCTAGGAGCCATATACTCTAAAAAGTAAAATTAACTGAAATTAAAACAGCACATTATATTTAATAAAATAGATAATAAAAATTAAAAATATTAGATATTTTACATTTTTACCACTGAGTCTATAAAATCCAGTGTGCATTTGACATTTGCAGCCCATATCCACCTGTACTGCCCACAGTTTGGGAGTGCTCAATGGCCCTGAGCTATCATTATGGCTAACGGCCACCATACAAGACGGTACAGATCTGGAATGTTCTTTGGAAACATTTTTTAGAATTTTTGTACAAATATTATCATCTACTCTCTTTGCTTAAAAGTTTATAAAAACAATACAATAAATATTTCAACAATTAAAGAACCCACAGAATTAGCTCAATTTTGAAAAGGTACCCATAATCATACATTAAAAATGCCAGTTAATCTTTGGATTTTATGTTTATAGGATACTATTTTATGACTAAAATACACATAGGGTAGACTTTTTTAAAAAGATCTGTATCAGCTGAGTGCAGTGGCACACATCTGTAATCCCAGCAGCTCAGGAGGCTGAGGCAGGAGGATTACAAGTTCAAAGTCAGCCTCAGCAAAAGCGAGGCACTAAGCAATTCAGTGAGACCCTGTCTCTAAATAAAATACAAAATAGGGCTGGGGATGTGGCTCAGTGGTCAAGCGCTCCTGAGTTCAATCCCCAGTACCCTCCCCCCGCCCAAAAAAGGTCTGTATCAACAATTCTAATGTGTGATATTTGGACTCATTTTCACAAATCCATAACATTTATCTTTTAAAATATATAATATTTACGACCCAGATAGAGACCTAATACATTGAATAAGGAGCTATGAGCAAAATGAAAAACTGAGTCTGCTTTCCCAGTTAGTGCCTGGAAGACCACATGCAGGAGAACTTCCTAGAACGGTGGGGTCACCCTCGTTTTGGGAAACGCTGGTCTCCATATGACCCGCAAGTTCTCACGCTGCTCAGCTTCCCCAGTTTTCCTCTACGATCATCAGAATGTTCTGTTCTTCCCTTTTTATTCCAGAAAGAAAGAAAGAAGGCAGGAGGGGGCACCCGGTCAGGGGCTGGGCATAGGGGTGGTTCCAGAGCTGGGTGTGCCCACTCCCATGCCCTTGCTTTGTCCTCTGCGGGTGTGTAGGACTCCTAGAGTAACTCGTCACCTCTCTCCCAGGTGCTCTGCCTTCAGAGCCACAAGATGCTCAATTCCACGAGCTCGCCACCGCCAGGCCCGCCCTGCTCCCGGAACACGCTCATCAGCCAGTACATCATCCCGGTGCTGTACCTTCTGGTCTTCCTGGCAGGGGTCCTGCTCAACGGCGTGTCGGGCTGGGTCTTCCTCTACGTGCCCAGCTCCAAGAGTTTCATCATCTATCTCAAGAACATTGTGGTCGCTGACTTTCTGATGGGCCTGACCTTCCCCTTCAAGATCCTGGGCGACTCGGGCCTGGCCCCCTGGCAGCTGAGCGTGTTCGTGTGCAGGGTCTCGGCCGTGGTCTTCTATGTCAGCATGTACGTGGGCATCGTCTTCTTCGGGCTCATCAGCTTCGACAGGTATTACAAAATCGTGAAGCCCCTCCTGACCTCCTTCGTCCAGTCAGTGAGCTACAGCAAGCTGCTCTCAGTGGCCGTGTGGGCGCTCATGCTGCTGCTGGCCGTTCCCAACATCATCCTGACCGACCAGCGCGTCCAGGAAGGCATGAGAGTACAGTGCATGGAACTCAAGAACGAGCTAGGACGCAAGTGGCACAAGGCGTCCAACTACATCTTTGTGGGCATCTTCTGGCTCGTGTTCCTCCTGCTGATTGTCTTCTACACTGCCATCACCAGGAAGATCTTCAAGTCCCACCTCAGCTCCAGAAGGAGATCCATCTCGGTCAAAAGGAAATCCAGCCGCAACATCTTCAGCATCGTGCTCGTGTTCTTTGTCTGTTTTGTGCCTTACCACGTGGCCAGGATCCCCTACACCATGAGTCAAACCGGAACCTACTACAGCTGCCAGGCGAAAGAGATCCTGCTCTACGTGAAAGAATTCACCCTGCTGCTCTCTGCTGCCAACGTGTGTCTGGACCCCGTTATTTATTTCTTCTTATGCCAGCCATTTAGGGAAATCTTATGTAAGAAACTGCACATCTCATTTCAAGCTCAGAATGACTCAGACCCTGGCAGAATCAAAAGGGGCAACACAATGCAGGAAAGCACAGACACGCTGTGAACTTCCGGCCCTTCCCACTAGACCATTACAAGCTCGTGACCACCTCCAGCTGCCGGGAAATGAGCAAGAGCAAAGAACAAGCCACTTGCTCATCACTGGCAACAGACCCAGAATCACCATCCAATACCGCCAGGACTTATGAAGCCCCAGAGGCTCAGTACAACGATCAAATTCAAATGTTTCCAAGCTTTTCTGTAACATTAAAGGGCATGGGATCCCTTCTGCAGGTTTTCCTAGTACTGACCATTATTTTTCTTGGAAAGAATAATACATACAATCATTCAATCCTATTCCATCAAAATAGCAGGTTTAAATTTATATTAACTAACCTGAACAGTTAAAGTAGAATTTTAAATTGGTAAATAAAGAACACAGAAAGAAATCCAAGACAATTCACATATGTGTCCTCTTTTTTCATATGCAAGAATTAAGTCAGTAAGATATATGATCTTTGTCAGCAGCAATCTTAAAGACCAGCTTAAAAATAGGCAGAGTTTGATAAAGAACTGTTTGAAGTGAAAAAGTCAAAGTTTTCTCTGATTTGAAGCAGAAAATCACTTAGGAAAACCCCTTATTTATTCAAGGCATTTCAAAGGAAAGCAGATATGAGTTACGCACCTGCAGTAAGATCCTAATTTTTTCTAATGCAATTTTAAGGATAGTACATGCATGTTAAATATATCTTATAAAAGACCTATTTAGCCATTTAATGAGCTGGAGTTCTGGTATTAGACAAGGTCTAAGATGACTCTACCAGCAAAGCCAGACCCAGGAGGTACTTTTAGCAACTCCCTCTGCTCCGTAGTATGAGTGCAGATAGGACGATGGAAAAACACACACACACACACACACACACACACACACACACAAGAACATGACATAATTCTCTTGTAGGGTGGGGTGAGAGAGTTTCTTAGAAAGCAAATGGATTTGATAAAAAGAAGATCTAGCCAAGCATATAGTAGTGCATGCCTCCCAGCTACTCAGGAGGCTAAGGCAGGAGGAACGCATGTCAGAGGCCCACCTCCACAACTTATCAAGACTCTGTCTCAAAATAAAAATCAAAGGGGCTGGGGATGGAGCCCAGCGGTAAAGCACCCCCTGGGTTCAAGGCCAGTACTAAGGAAATAAATAGGGAAAAAAGAAAGAAAATCTAAAACATAAAATAAGTACTGGCAGTTTACACATAACATGAACATTCACATACCACATTTTCTAGAAAAAAGATAAATGTGATACATGGAGACATGGAATACAGTTGCTGGTGTAACAATTACCAAGGCACAATTTTTTTCTGTTATTAACCGGCTAGAAGACATTCAGTCCATCCTTCAAAGAGTCTTCCCAAATGTTTTTAGGGTTTGTATCTCTTTCATCCTTCACTATATCTGTATCAATAAATAAACTTATTTTCAATACTGTCAATTTTTTCTTAAAAATCATAGCACAAGGAGACACCAGCAGATCTCACAGTCAGGGGATTCTCGACATGCCCCCTTGCACAGGCTCCAGGGGTGAGTCACCTAAAGACTGAACATCCTACATGCCACTGATACGTTTCAAACTAAGCAGGTCATGCTCAGGACCTCCTCATAGTTTAGGAAAAACCCAGAAAACAGATGCTGTTGAAGAGGAGCTGGGAAGTGCCCCCACCCATGTCAACCCCCACCTCCCTGCCCACGCCTGCTCAGCCCACGGCCAAAACGGACCACAATCCCTAGGCTCCGCAGACATCTCTGGTGGAAGGGCGTGTCCTGGCTTGGGCCAGTAAACTTGCTAAACAGTCTGGCTGTGCTTATTCTTCATGACTCCCCCTGACCAGGGCCCATGGGTGAATCCTGGGGTCTTAAATGTCCCTTTCTGGGCCACAGAAGAAAGTGAAAGCTCAAAGGAGAAGAGGAAGTGCTCGCCAAGGGATGCTAGTGGCTTGCATCACCTCCTCAGCGAGGTCTGTCCCTGGGAAAGTCACTCTTCCCTGAAGTGCCAAGGACTGCCTGCGTGGTAAGCAGGACCCTGGAGCAGGCTGGCCACGCATGTGCAAGAGTGGTCAGGAAGCAGTGCACGGAGTAGATAAGGGTGCTCTGAAACCACAGCAGAGGAGCAGCTCCTGTTCCAGCTTGTAGGCACAGAGCAACATCTGAAAACAAAGGTGCCTTCCAGCAACAGGCAGCCAGGACTCTGGGTCAGCAGGACAGGGGCAGATGGACAGCAGGGCTCTCCCAGCTCCACCATAGCTAGTGGGTGCACAAGCCCTCCTGCATTCAGGGTGCCCAATGCAGCAGGGGACGAGGTGCCTGTGAGGACAGAGAAGGCTGCAATGGGTGCAAGCCAAGAGCGGAAGCCAGGATGGCGGTGAGCTGAGAGCTGGCCCACCCCAGAGCAGACGCTCCTAGCTCCAGCCAGTCACTTCCTCATTCTCCACAGGAGATGTAAGACCACCCAGTTTTTTAACTGTTGGGCTAACAACTAAGAAAACGCACCCCTGGAACTGGCTAAGCAAAGTGGGTAGCCACTCCGCAACATCTGAAATGTAGAAAACTAACAGAAAGGAGCCCAAAGCAGCTTATGACTGCAACTAAACACCTCTCTGGACTAAAGAGCCCCCACTGTGTTACCTCAAGTGAGGTTTCCACATCGGTGCACAGTTAATTCAAGTATCTAAGCTGTTTCATAAAAAGAATATTTGGAATAAGAAGAATCAAGAAATGTCACAGAGGGGCCGGGAGGCGGAGTGAGTCGGGGTGCAGGGGCGGGGGAACAGGGGGCAGAGAGCGGGAGCAGGGGGCAGAGAGTCAGCATTGACAAGGGAGTGGGGACTGAGAGCCAGGGGCCTGGCAGAGAGCAGGGGGCGGGGAATTTAAGGAAAAAGAAACAAGAAAAAAAAAAGAAATGTCACAGAAAGATCACCATCATGCGAGACGGTGGCACATGGCACCTACCCACAGAGGCGGGAAGCAGCAGCAGGGCCACCCAAAGTCTCCTCCGCCCACACCCTCTTTGTTCAGATGACACAAGTACACGTTCCTGTTGGGAAAGTCACACTTCCCTGTCCTGGTCATTAGCAGGTCTCGGTCCACTGACCACCGGTTGGGACGGCACAGGACCCAATGTGACCCAATGACAGCAAGGCCCAGGCTCTGGAGAAACTTCTGGAAGGGATGCCATACACACGTAAAACCTAGAAGTGCACCCTTCACTTGGGCACCCCACAGACAAAGCTCAGGCGTCCTCTGAATGAAAAGAGTCAGGGCAGCTGCAGAAACGGCACAGTGTGAGACCGTGTCCACCTTGGCCTATAGCCATGGCCCCCAGCTCTGGGCATGCCAGCCAGTAAGATGTGTTGCACATGCTCAATTTCCCTTGTGGTGGGGAAGGGACACCAATCAATTGGAAAATCTCAATACACTGGCTTCATCTAAAAGAATGATCTGGAAAACATGCTCATACCAAGCTTTGCTCCTCTTTATATCAGTGAGGTCCGTCATTTCTATATTCTGTCTTTAACATGTGCCCACAACCTGATCTTTTTACCACTTTGGAGACAAAAACTTTCTATGAGTACAAAAATACCTATAACACCAAAGACCACAGACATATTACCACACAGAGCATCATCTACAGAGGGGATTGGGGTGCCTGGAGCTGCTGACCTGCAGGGCCTGCACTACGGCCTGGGGGAACCGTATTGTGCGGTGCTCAGCAGAAGAGCCACCACTTCCCTTTGGTCATCTGTTCTCTGTAAGACTCGAGTGATATGCAGATGACCATTTCAAGTCAGGCCATCGCCCCCAAAAGAACCACCTCAATGAAGTATGGCTCGCTTTCCCCTGCAGTTTGCAAGGAGGTTTAACCTCTTCGTAGCACCACTTGTACACAAGAATTAAATGTCACACTGATTTATCTGCCATAAATTCATAATGTAAATGTTATTTATAAGATAATTACAGAAAAGACATGTTTACACAAAATAAGGTGTTTTCCAAAGCAGTTTGGGGTCTTATAGGGACTATAAGATGTTACTATATTCCCACCTCTGCATTTCCAACAGAAATTTTAGGACAAGCACGGAGGAAGTGGGGGGGTGTCTTGGAAGAATGGCACTATCTGATCAACAGGAAAGCCTGCAGACTCCCGGGGCTTTTCCTCACTGCTGGGATTACTTGCTGCTCCTTGAAGGGGCTCATGGCAAGATTCTGATTCTCCCAGGTTCACAGACAGCTGATGTCTTCCTCCCAAGCCTCCTCTCCCCACTTCCACACACCGCCTCAAATGCCTTCAGGACCTGCAATGTAGGACTTTGGGTAACCTTGTGCCATTATCCCCTCCAGGATCCTTAGCCTAACCCTCCCAGTGCAAGTCAGGGCAGGCCCTGGGCGGTACATTCCTCTCTCCCGCAGTCCTCTGCATTTGAGGGCTGCTAAACCTCCCCAGAAGTTCATGGCAAAGTCCTAAGGAAGGGCTCACTGTCCTATTATTCCAGCTCCTGACCAAAAAAAAAAAAAAAAAAAAAGGACACCAAGAAAAGTGGATGGCATGGGCTCTGTACGGTTCATGTCCCTTGACATCACTGCATGCTCCATATCAAAGCCGACAGTCTCCATGGCTGACCTGCAGGGTGTAGGATGTTAACTATTCTGTTTATGCTAAACCATCAGCTTTAGGAAGGACTATCAGTTCCTTCTGAGGCTTAGGACTGAAAGGAGAAGCCAATCCTCAATTGTTTGTAAAGTAAAAGCCAATTTAAACCACATCAAATCCACCTGCTCATTAACAAGAACACACAGCCACCTAGAAAGTTCTGAATCACATGACCAACTGTGTTTTTTGGTCTGGTTGATATTACAAATATCAGAGGAGAACACAATTTTAAATCAGAAAACCAGAGTCACAATCACTGATGTTCAAAATGAGAGATCCTTAATCAGAAAATCTTGGTCGATGACCTACAAAATGCTAGGAGGATTATTTAATATCTACTGAAAATGAGCAGAATAAAGATCAATCTATGCCATAGCCAACGATGTGGTGGTTTTCCTTGTAAGCCAGGAAACCACACTGGCTTTCCTCCCTGCCACTGGGT